ATCTGATCAATACTCTCTACCTGCCGAGAGTCCAAAGTGACATACCTGCTCAGACTAAACTCAGAAGCCCTTAATTGATATCCAAAAGAGCCTCTGAATCCTAATCGTGCAATCAGATCCAATCTCACATCTATGATGTGACCAAGTATTGGGTAGCCAAATATCCGACGCTAACCAAAATCTAAAGCAGCTCCATCAGATCTAACAATATCTAACGTAGCAGTCGGTAACCTCATAAGATAGCCCAAACGTGTCGAATCCCGAATACCAAATCCACTGCTTGACAACCAACGTCGATCCTTCTCCAGAAAAGAACGGCCCACTAAATCCGCCATCTCATCACGTCGCCCCACTGTCTCCTCTCCTCTGAAGTGTCTCCACCTGCCATGAGCTCGGCACCAATGCAAGAAAGAACCCCTACTAGAACTAGTACGATGGGTAGCATTTCTTCCCATACAGCTCCTCCAACTGTCGCAGACTACTAGGGCTTCATACCAACGGGACTTGGTTCCAACCCATAAATGCCTAGTACAATCTCCAACATAGGAAACAAAATAAGGATTACCTCCCAATGATGCCTCCATGGAAGGCCCCCCAATGCCTGACTGAACACCTCCAATAAGACCCCTCGATCGGTGGATAGAAGTGCCCAACTTCACCTCTGTCTTCTCGCTCATCCTAATGTGCTCAAAGGACTTCAATCTACAAGTCATAGCACTCCTCAACAATCTGTGCACGGCATAACCAATAATATATCCCAGCACCAAACAATGCCACAGTCTAGTCAAAGAAGTCGTCAGCGCTCTATCAATCACCGTGCTCCCAAGTAGATAATATAAGTTACTCCTCCTGATGCTCTTCATAACAATCATGGACCCCAATGTGACCTTCAAGCGAGAATCCGCCAAGGTCGCCCTATAGCATGTTGCCTCTAATACCCCAAGTGAAATGATGTTCTTCCTCAGTTGAGAAACGAACCTCACATCAACCAACTCCCGAAACATCACATCACTCGTCCGAATCTGAACGGTACCAATACCACCAATAGGACATCTGCGATCATTACCCATAAGAACAACATCCCTTCTTTCCAACTCCTGAAAGCTGAAGAACCAATCCCTCATAGGGCATATGTGGTAAGTAGCACATGAATCCAACATCTACTCGGTGGACTCGGCAACAACAACTTACAGAAAAGTTGGGCACGAATAGCCCGAAGAATATGAATCTGAAATATCGCCGCTAGCTTTAGTAACATTCACCTCTGAAGCTTGAATAGCTTTCCATTTATTCTTCCAGACTTGTAATTTTAGGCATTCGGCTTTCCAATGTCCATCATCTCAACAAAAGACATACTGATTCCTACCCACTGCAGGATGTCCCCCTCTAGACTGCGACCTCCTACCACGGTTTGGACTTCTAGCTCTTGCAACCAATGCCCTCCGTTACTGGCTCAATGAAAGTCTCCTTGTCCTTCTTACGAAGTTGATAATTCACAAGAGCCGCGGTGACCTCACTATATGAAAGAGATACCTTCCCATTAATAAGAGTAAGGATGAAGGTCTCATATTCCTCGTCAGGTAAGGAACTCAATAACAACAATACCTTATCCTCGTCTTCAATAATAATATCTACATTCGCCAAATCTGTAAGTAGCTTCGTGTAGTGGTTCATGTGATCACTAATGGATGTCCCATTCTTTAATTGGAAGCGATAAAGCCTCCTCTTCAAATGCAAGTGATTTTTGATGCTCTTCGTCAAATACTTGCCCTCTAGTACCTCCTAAATCTTCTTTGCAAAAGTCTCATTTATCACATCATACTTTAGATCTTGAGTCAAACAAGACCTAATCACACCACACGCCGTTCTATTCATTTTTTTCCAAACCTTCTCATTAATGTCATCCGGTTTTCCGTCCAACTCTAACGTATCTTCCAAATTTTACGCATTTAGCGCATCCAAGACTTCGTATCGCCAAAGTCTAAAATTATTTGTGCCATCGAACTTCTTCACATCTATCTTCATAGAATGAATACTCAAACTTTGGACGGTCATCACACTAGAAGAACCCTCCCTACTTTTATCTTTCCCGGCCATATATCTCAAAGCACCCAATAACAATTGCGGAACAAACAATAAATAGATCCAACTTGAACAAAGATAGAATTTTTACCACAAAGATTCCACCTTTATCACCAACCGAAGCTCTAGATGAACTTCCCAACTGATCTACTCTTCCAAAAAAAACCAATCGTTGCCCGGAGCTCTGATACCACTTGTTGTGCCTCGAGAAACCAAACCAACCGCCGAGAGAGATAAACAACCACAACCAAATAATAGCACAAACAATCAAACACCAATTTTAACGTGGTTCGGCAATGGTCTACGTCCACGTGGCAAGGAGGAGGGAGTTTTTACTATTAGAAATCAAGAAGAACAAACTAGGGTTACAAATCTCTCACCAAAACCCACAACAACTCACTCTTGTTCTCTCCAAATGCTCCTAGAATAGAAACCCAAAGAAAACCCTCTCAATAACCTCAAAACCTCCTGTTTGCTCAAACCCTAGAAATCAGATCTATGTATTTATAACAAGCCCAAACGAAACGGGTCTGGAAACAGAACCCAGACTCGAAACTGCGTCGCGGTCGACCGCAACACCATGTGCGGTCGATCACGATAAGCCAGGGAACTCGGCCAAAGTCTCTGGAAAAAATGCGGTCGACCGCCGTGCCACGCGCGGTCGACCGTCAAACATCCAGAGCCAAATTCCATTACTTGGGCCA